CTTTTTTTTTTTTTTTTTTTTTTTTTTTTTTTTTATTTTCAAGCTTATGCTAGAACTCATTGGTGTGGAAAATCCAGTGCTACGTCTCTTTGTTTGCGATATGCATCCACAGCTAGGCATAGTGATCCCAAGCCTTTAAACTGTGACTTGTAGGTTGGAGCTACTGGCATCATTAAAAAATTTCGCGGTTTTTGAACTGTTTTTCCCTCGTTTTCCTCCCATTATTGTTTGTCTTCTGTAGCTGTTTTCATTATTGGAACTGCATTCTCTCAGGTAACATTTCCAGTTTGTAACGAGTAAGGCTTATTCCATTTTTGATGCTTTCCCTCCTGCACAATATCTCTTCCTGTTTTACCACAGCTCGCAAAAAACTGGCACTTTTCCATCAATTTAGCAGAAAGTGTTGTATGTTTTAGTGCCGTTAGTGCAAATTAGCATTTTCAAGTCATTCTTTTGTCATAATTTTATCCAATCTGCTTGTTTTATTCAATTTTCGCACTTTTCCTTCAGCAAACCGTTTGACTGTGGCATGGCTAAAGTCAGAGTTTGGACTGTAACTTGGAATACGTCTTCTTTTGCAGTGTGGCTCTCCATCCGTAAGCTAGCGGTTTTTTCGCTTACTTTAAGCAGTGCTGTATCACCTGGTTGTTAGAATGCTGGCTATGCTAACGTAATAGAAGAAAAGAGTTTTTGACTTAATAGGGCTATTGTCTCGTTCTGTCAAAATAAATGTTATAAATTTTAGCGTGAAATAGCGGAATCGTATACATTGAATGCGCGTATGATTGAATATCAAATGAAACGGAAGGGAATGAAGAGGAATCGCGTAACCGAGGAATTGCTTGAAGCAAAAAAACGACATAATGATAGTAAAAGAGGCACGCTGTTGTAACAATGATGCAATTCTTTTCCAAGATGCTGTAATAATTTGAAAATTTTAATTTTAGAATTAATATAGGGGCTCTCTAACGTGGAGTTTTTTAGAAACCAAAAGATTTTAAAAACAAAAAAAAGTAATAATTTAAAGATTTTTCTTCATTCTAGTTTTTCAAAATCAAAAATATTCCTGAAGAAATTTTAAATTTGAGTGTTTTTGTACGATTGTTGTTGCATTTTGTATGATCCTTTTACAATATTTCAAATTGAATGCTTCGAATGCGAGTACCATGCAGTTGAAGTTTGAAAGTGAAGTGCGGCCTCCGTTCGTTTTCGTAACTTCAACAAAGCGCCAAAACAGATGACCGGATACGTGTTAAACTGTCCTGTTTACCGGTTCTATCCGCCTCCTCTTTGAACAAAGGGGAACCCCTACCCGGCCAAAGAGAAAAAGTTTAATGTCTGAATTTTTTCATATTCCAGTGTACTTTGTTGCTGACTGATCGGAATTGTAAAAATTGTTGAATGTTGTTGTTTTGTTTTGTCTTTTCCTTAGTCCTAATTTGTGTAGATTTTGAATCAAAAGTAGCCGAATAAAATCCTGGTAATATGCTTTTCGAGTTTTTTTTCTGAGATTGCTGAATGGAATCTTCCCGATAATGACGTCATGTATAAGTTATTTTCTGGAATTCTGTAAAAGTCAGTTACCCCAGTCACGCGCTCTGTATTCACTTTCTTCACGGGAGATGGCCCGAATACTATCAAGTGCCAACAGCAACCACACGCTGACAAAGGTAGCATTGAAACAATTGGTTATCCCGCTGCTGGAAGCGAACTGTGAGCATTTAACACCAAAGCATCGCTACTTGCTTTAGCCTTGTTTCTCATGTGACACGTTATACGCAAGAGCTGGATGCATAGCAAATAGTAAGTCGAACAATTCGAGAAGGGAAAGAAGGAGGGTTTCCTTGGTTTTAATGGCAAGTGTTGAGAAATGATGAAAACGAAGTTCCCAGCAAGATGAGGAGTTCCAAGACGAATGTGTGGTGGGGTCGACTGGGAAATCTCGGGTTTTGTACAGACTATTTTGCCGGTCACATTGTTCCCCTTTTCTGTGGAAACATATAACTAGGATGTTGGCGTGTAGGGGTGACGGCATTTCACGGTTTCACATTGATGGAATTGCAAAGGAATCAGTGACGTTGCAGTGCAAATGGACAGAAAGCACAGTATCAGGAAAGAACATACGACCAGACTTGGTCTTCCCGTAGATGAAAAATGTGAAGGACACGGAGTTCAAAGTGAACCATCGATGTATTTAAAAACTCCGCGCATGGAAGGAGAAAATGAAACGGGAATATCTGGCATCCAGCGCGATAGCGCCTGGTCGGCTCCAGGGAGCTTTCGACGCTGCCGAGCTTCAGATGAAACCCTGGAAGGCTCCTGGTCCTGACGGAATCGAGGCTTTCTGATGGAAAAAGCTTCCTTGAGCCTACGCTCGACTCAGTAGACTCGCACTGCAAATGCTGGATAGCAGGGAAGTTCCCGATTCCTGGTTTTGCAAAGGCCGGGCAATACTGTTCTATAAAGCTTGCGATAGAGTTGATTCATTTAATTACCGCTTGCCTCAACACTTGCTGCAAGTTAGTTGGCAGAGTTGTGAATAAGGCTGTCATGAATCACGTCCAGAAGGGCAGTGCGATCCTGGACAACCAGAGAGCAGTTCGCAAGGGGGGATGGAACTGCATTCAGACTCACGTTCTCGAATGGGCGATGGTGCTGGACACAATGTCGCAGGCCAAGAAACCACTGAACATGGCTTGGGTCGACATCCAAAGGCCTTCAACTTGATATCCCATAGTTACCTTCTGTGGGTGTACTCCAGGTAAGATTCTTCGGACCTTACAACGGCTCATGGTCTGTTGGAGTACGCAGTTCAAGCTCCGATGGTCTAGAGGGCTAGCCCAAAGCCCATCGCTACAGGTGGTTCGAGGTATCTTCCAAGGAGATACTCTCTAGCCGACATTGTATGTCTTGTCGGAAGCATCACTAAACCATGCCCCTCCACTGAAGTCATCGTCGGGATGTTTTAAGGGGTTTGGATTCCACCTGCTCATCAATTTTACACTAATAACCTCAAGTTATATACCAGGAATTCAAGGGATTTGGGGCGTCAAGTTACGGTTGTTACGAGGGTGGCGGCGGCAGGCGGTACGACCATCAACGTGGGAAAGTGTGCGCAAGTCCACTAAGATCCAGGCACAAAGCAGAATTCGGATTCGGAAGTAGGTAAAGTACTGGCCTGTCAGTGCTGGCCTCTACCGAAGCCTACAAATATCTGGGCGTGGAGCAGCGATTACTGGCCATGGATCGGGCTATCGAGCGATTCGAACAGGCTCTGATTGCGAAAGCCGAAGTTATCTTCGGTAGCAGTCTTACGTGGGGCCAAATGGCCCGTGCGTATACTCGATTGCGGTGGCTGGGATGCGATACGTCTACCAGCAAACATCTGGTGGATGGTGGAAGTTTGTTGGGTCTTTACACCGCGCCCAGAAACTGGAAGTGCGAATCCGTGACGTCCTGAGGGATAAAAAATGCCGGTATCGCAAGAGTGCTATTGACCGGCTATATGTCCCTCGAGAACACGGTGGATTTGGATTGGAGTCGCTTGAGGACTGTCTGCGAGAAAGTGCCCTGGCGACCTGGGCCTACGTCGTGCCTACGTCGCCACTCATTCGTCGATGCGATCGCAGCACTAGCTGTTCGCGCAGCTTGCTTCACGAAGAAAAAGGAGCCCCAACACAGATGGAAACAGGATCCTTCGGGACGAAGGTATCGAGGCCCACTGTGATGTCAGGACCAGCAATGTCGGTATTAATGATCGGGTATTCATGAGCCCTACTGATCTCATCCGATATCTGAGGGGTATCGTAAGAGAAAAGGCCATCAGCAAGCGCCGAACTGCATGGGAAGCTCAGCTGCACGCGGGTGCTTTTGCTCACTGGAATGGTAACATCGATATTAGGCTCAGTAGCCTACGGATAAAGAAAGCGAGATTAAGTGCGGTTAACTTCCGCAATGCTCTAGGTGTCCAGAAATGGGCACTGAGCACTCGCGAAGCAGATAGGAATCAGCGACAGTGTCTTATGTGCCGGTTGGAGCCCGAAACACCTGATCAGATAGCTAGGTGTTCGGGCTGGCTGTCTAATTCATACATCGACAGACACAACAGCGTTGCGCTAAATGTCTGTTTCATGCTCTGCCGGCGCTGTGGTTCCCTTCCGGTCCATTACTCCAATCAAATCCCAACCGTACGCGAAAATAAGTCGGCAAAACTCCTGTAAGACATGGTGCTAGCGACACGAGTCCCAACGGAACACAGATGGCCAAATATGGTCGTCTTCGATTACCACGTATGCAAGATGTTTGTGGTGGAGGTGAATGTGGCCCATGTCGCAGGATTGGAGTCTCAGCGTCGGTGGAAATTAACCGGTACACGGTCAATTCAACCATTACCGGTGACTAAACCCGTGCAAGTTAACCCCCTGCGCTTAATCTTGTTTCAGATCTACGGACTCAGTATGCGCGAGAAGTGATATTTGTGCCGGTGGTCGTTGGTACGTGCGGAGAACATCTGTCGATAACGAAGATGACCTCTGTACTGCTTTCGACCTGAGGTCTACGAGTGCTGCAATAAACTGGAGAGATAGTTTCAATCGACAGTTATCGAGACGTCACGAATTATTACGAATATCTAGCTGCACAGTAAGATCAGTGCGTAAAAACATACATCAAGGATTAACCAGCCAGCATGGACAAGTCGGACGTAGAACAATGGACGAAAGAAGGAATTCTCGATTCTAGCCAAACGGTTGGAGAAAGAGATCATAGTCGAGTTTTGTATTCGAGAAAACGTTCTACCGACCAAGGCGCAGGTTACGGCCTCTTTACCGTTTCCTGTTTCCGAGGTCGTAACACTGCATTTTCACACATACATACATGCAGTATGAATAATCATGAGACCTACATACCTGATGGCAGGCGCAGATACTACAGCATGCATTGCTATGGCATAATTGTACTACAGCAAGATTGTCCAGCACAAGACCTCGGCTCCTATCGCGGATGTAGAGGGGCGTCTGGTCTAAAGGCTGGAAGTGGTCAGTTGGCTTACAGAGGTGAGCAAGTGCATGATAAGACAAATTAAAAGTCAATGAATAAAAAAATATACTATAAAATATAAAAGAAAAAATCCTATCACGATCTTTTTGTGAAAGCATTTGAAACCAACTGCTTCGTTGTCATGTTCCGACGTAAGTCTGATGTAAGTCAGAAATTTTGTTATGTTCTGACGTAAGGAATACCTCCTCGAAGACCTAGGTCCTTGTTCCCAGATCGTGAGATAGAAAAAGAATTTTCGCAAGTGTAAACATAAAATGCTGCTTTCGCGCACAGTTCGCAAAGCGAAAGATTGAAAGAACCATTCCTTCCAACTAATGAAAATTCCATTGCTGGTGTATAAAAGGAGCAATCATCCGCAGTCGAGGTACTCGTTCGATTTCGTTGAGAGGCGCATCTCTTCAGACCAATGCCGGACTTTCCTTTAATACCTTAGTCATTAATTTTGTATTGCTTAATGTAGATTACTGAATAAATGAGCAGTGTTTTATATTACACAGCTGACCTGACCAGCGGGTCGTTACCCGTGACGTTGTCCAAGCTCGATAAAGGCATTGATTCTTTTTCGCGTGCCTAAAGATGCCATAGAAAGTATAAATGCATACTACCGAAATCGCGAAATACATCTAGTTAGTGAAGTTGTCCTCAGAAATACCACTTAGCCAGCATGTTTTTCGTGTCACGATGAAGAGCACCATCTCTGTTACTGTACCGTCCTCACGTTCTATAGATAGTACCATTGTCAGCGCAGGGACCAATCGATCAAAAGTAATGACAATGGATACTAAGCAGTTAAAAAAACCTAGTGGATAAGGACACGCTTGGCAATTCAGACTTTGCACTGGAGAAGCGCGTACGTAGTTTTGCCGCAATCTTCATTATTATTCAGTTGTAAGCAGTGCATTTCATGTGTTTTATGCTGTTATACCAGCGCAAAATGCATATTGTTACACTCTTGTCTGTCTTGTGTGTGTATGTCTATGTAGTACCCAAATTTTTTGGCATACGGTACGTAAAGTTGCTGATTCGGGGGCCGCAAAAACTGGAAAGATGAAATTTATTATGGCTGTTTTCTTCGTTCATGTAAATTTTAAAGTTTTCGAATTCAGCTCCCAACTTCGATGATTTTCACGTCCAAGATTATTCGGATTTTTAGCTTTACCGAAATTTAAACTGAATTATCCCGGTTAGGAAAGTGTGAGTTACCGGATGAGAAGGATGAGGAATAGCAACGCGATCACAACGCGAAACTTTGAAAAGCACATAATGGTACTCATATGAAAAAATGCATAAGCGGTCATATTGGAATGAAAGATGATAACCAACCACCATCGGACCAGCATGAGCTACTGAAGAATATATTGCATGCAATGAGTGCTGTTGGTAACAGTGAGCGGTTTGAACGAAGGAAATGGATTTTGCACTGCCCACAAACAAATAAAAGAGTATGCGGCAAAAATATGCGCGCGTACACTTCCCTGGAAGAGTGTTGAAATTTGAGGTTGTTCTCGTTCATGAGCCATGTCCAGTAGCTTGAATTGCGCATTTCGCATGTACCTACAGTGATTGATTAGATCCACAATGTTCGCAGAATGCATGGAAGATGTCGTCTATAGACAGAAGATGGTGGTGCGGTACGCCTCACCGAGGTGCGAAGTACTTGTCAATGCAATCGCCAGTACCTAGAAAAGTTACATACATCATTTGGAAGATTGTTTATAATGCTGGACTTTGGGGATTTGATGCTCCTATATTCAGTTTTCCATGGCACTTTCAGTGTGCGAAAAAGAGACCGTGTTTACAAAGCTTATGCGGACGATCGCTGATCAGGTGTTGATGTAATTAAGCTCCTGTGGCGGGGTCATTGTCAGTAAATTGTAATAAAGCACAGGAGCGTGCAGCTGCGCATTAGAACGAATATCAAGCTACAAGATGGCTCATAAGGATGGTAATGGGAGCAACGTTGAAATAAATACAGTTTGCGGGAAAGTTTAC